CTTATTACCCCACACAAAAAGACACGTGCACCTGCATGCATGTGGCTCATTTCTGACAAGGTGTGTCCCTGCACTGGTTACTTACACGAAGGAACGGACGACTGATGTGATGTGCAGGGAAGGGTGCTGTCTATTATATTATGGTTTAAGAAAAAGTTGCCATGCTCCAACTGACTACAGCTTGCATGAACATGCCCTCGGACCCATCTTGAGGTGACAACACACATAGCCTTAGCTGCGCTATCAACAACGCCGCCCCACTGTCTGTCCCAGCTGCCTCCGCACCCCAGTCCGTCTGCTGCCCGTCCCTGTATGCGCTTTCATCCCTGCAGGCTACGCCTCAAGTCTCTACCTCTGCTCCACTCGCTGGTATGACGTTTTATCATAGCGGTGTATAGCACGTTCAGTACTTCTGTACTCCGGCAGTGGTACTAGATAGAACGCTATAGTCATGAATGTGTCAGCAGCTTCGCCTGTACATAACAGAGACTACTGCCAGCGGTAGCTATAAGAAAAAATGTGCATTTATATATATATAGAGAGACAAGAGGAGGAGGGGAGGCTCGCGGCTGGTGGGGACTGACCTTACTTCCCGAGTCCTTGGTCCACACTCCCTTATCGTCCACCATTGTTTTTTCAGTTTGGTCAAGACTCTCTTCACTCATTCAATACGGCAAGGTTACAGGCGTTCTTCAATCACGTAGGGAGGGCGCGGACGGGTGAGGGAGTGGGGAAGGGTAAGGTAGGGAAAATAACATAAATTACGACTCATAGACATTATTTATGTTATTCAATTCATAAGAAGCCCAACAAGAGCAGCTCAGTACCCTTTTTCACAAAGTGACAAAGCGGAGGACGAGAGGGGCTCCCCCCGCTTTGAGCGCTTACATGTCTCTTTGCTCATTGGATAGTATGGGGAGTCAGGGCGGAGGCTAACAGACATATATACGCTCTTGGGGGGGGAGGTCACCCCTCACCTTCGGCTGCATCGCTTGTTTCTGGACAGGGCATACTTGCCGGACCTTCCTTATAGCAAACAGAGGGCTAGCACTGTCAACACAAAACTATTAGCTTAGCAGTGACGGCCTGGATCGATAAAGCACAATGATGTGAGGGGATGCGCTACGTTCATCGAATGCTAATTAGCTGCTAAGGCTCAACGCTGCCAATCTGAAGCAGGCACCAGGCGGAATATTTATTGCTCGGACATAACCCGCTCTCCCCTCGGTGCCCGAGATGTAAAAAGCGGCCGACGCCGTCAGCTTCGATGATCAGACCCGGGCAGATGCTCCGTCTGCCAAACACAAAACACACTTCTTTCTTGCTTACCCGATCTCAAAAAGGTCCTTTAACTGTTGAAAACCTTGGTGTAGCTAACGCCGTAGCCTTATGGAAGTCCAAGGTTTGCCGTCCGACCTTTCATGGGTGGTCGCAGCGGCCTTGCGCCTGTCGTTGTTACCTCGTCAATAGGAGGTGGGCTACCAGCCAGGAAGGCGTACTTCCCTTCTGACTTGCGACGCGCCACCCGTCGGCCGTGTCTGGTGCAAGACCGTGGCTCGGCCGACTTCAAATGTGCACCAAACCTCTTCTCGTAGACGGCAATTTTTTGAGCGCTGTGAGTGAAGAAGGGGGCGGATGTTTGACGAGGAGAGAGAGTTGGGGAAGGGAGGGAGGGAGAAAGCATATCCGCCATACAGGTGGACGAAAACAGTTTTTGGATTACTGGAACTTAAACACCACATTCCTTACCTCAATCACTTTTTCCAAACTTTTTCTTTAAGACCCCTTTTTCTTCATTTTTAGTAAACTCACTGAGTGACATATTTCTATATTTCCATTATTATATTAATTACCCAAATACTGAACTCTTGAATGTTGTGTTAAAACAAGTCATCTGGAATGAAATGAATTTTTTTGAAGTTTTTTAGCCATTCTCCTGTTCCTGTATTGATGTATTTTTGAAAAATTTTTTTAACAATAATACAAGACTTTAAATCGGCTTTCATTATTTCCACAAATTCAGTGTTTTCTTCTCCCCGCCCACTCACCCAAAATTCTTGGTATAATCACTGGACTTGGTGCCACAGCTGGGTTTTGTAAGCTACACAACGCAGTTTCTTTTTAACGTAAAAATGGTTGTATTTCTTTTCTCACTTTTGTCTGACACCAAGTCCACAGACATTTTTTTGTGAAGACAGACGTAATGGAACTTAAGTGGAATGAATTCTTGTTCCACAGTTCACTCTCCAATGGTCTTTTTTTCTCCTCCTTTTTGGGACGAAAAAAAGAGTTTATATGTCAAGTGGTTCGCCACACTAAGGGGTCACCGAAAGCTTCATAAGGGTCATGAAGACCTTGCTTGATTTTAAGGTTGTGTAAGGAAACTTGGTTCACGTCTCTAAAAGGAATGTATACTTAGTTAGAAGTTAAGAAGAACAATGGCCAATGTTCCAGGGACAAGAAAAAACAAAAACAGATTTTTTTTCCCCCAAAAAAGAAGCCAATTTGGTGGGTGGAATAGTGTAACAATATGTCCCACGTGTTGTTATGGTATTCCACCTTCCCTGGTGTGCCGCCTTTTTTCTGTATCTCTTATCTGTTTCCACTGCTTGGTGTCGGGGTGGGAGGGTGCGTTTTATGTGTTTATTTTAGGGCAGAATTAGTGGCTTGTCTTTTTTTTTAATCCTCACACATCTGTGTTTGTTGCATGCATGTGGAGGTGGAGGTGGGGGGGTGGTCATTGTGGTGGTGCAGGGGTGGTTATTTCCTTCTTTTTCTTTACAGCTCTCCACTCCAGGTAAGCTCTGTGTGCTCTTGTGCTCGCTGTGTTGGGATGGCATGCTTCAAAAGCTCTTGTGGAAACTCATCTGAATATGTTTTATTTAGGATAATCTGCTTCTTTTTTATTTTTAATGTAATTAGCAGTTTCTTTTTTTTCCTGCTTAACTTGAAGCTTTTCCTTCACGGCTGCGAGAACTGAAATAATGTGGTTTTTTTTTGGTGGGGGAGCCATTTGAATGCTCAGCCCTGGCTAACTCTGCCAGACTCTGTCACTGCCGCCCGCACACAGTCGGGATTTACAGACCTGCCAGAGAATACAATGTCGTTACTGAGGGGAGTCGCACTTTCAATCCGCACACTCATCGATCAAAAAAAAAGGGGCCCGCCGGCGAGGTCTCGCTGAAAGGGGACGGATAAATATACTAAAGGCAAAAAGGGAAAAAAACTTCACAGGTGTGTGTACAGAGATTGTTTCCTGTGGAGAACGATGGGCCGCATGCAACAACTTTCTCTTAAATGTATCTAATATTTCTGATATTTTCTGGGAGAAAAAAGGAAGAGAAGTCAACTCCAGATGAGTCGTTGGAGGCATAGATAGATAGATAGATATAATGTATCTTAATCCCTTAATGTGGAGTCACTCAATCCAATAAATTAAATCTAACTCAAACATTAAGTATTGTAATTCCAGTTTACAAAATAAGAGGACATTTGTTGCTTCTTGCATGAGGCCCATTGTTTAAAACACCATTGATCATTAGAGAGTGCATTAAAAAAACAAAAAAGGTTGATTTTAATCCTTATAAATCTGTAACAACAAGGCAGCCGACTCCTCACAGGCAGTAAATGAAAAACCCCTGTCAGCTGTTTTCTGTAAACTCCTGAATCCGAGGCTGGTGCCAGTTTTCAGCCACAGGAAGGTGTCCCTGACAGATCACGGTAGTCCCCCTACCACCACCTGGGGGGGGATTATCATCTTCTGTCAGTCACTCGTCCGGATGCCAGCGAGGAAACACACCAGCAAAAACACAGAGAGCAGGCAGGGCGTTGTCGGTCGGGGCTGCTATCTCACGTGGCTCCGCTAACCAAAAGAAATCAGCTAAAAATGAAAATATTTGCTGCTTTTTTTTGTTCTATTTCTGTTCTTATTTTCCATAATGATGCAAATAAATTAAAAAGGGATCAAAACACATGCTGAGACAAATCTCTCTCTCCATCGTCACGTTTTAATGCAAGTCAATTACGATTTTCCAGAGCAGCTTTAATGCTCAGAAAATCCTGTGAGCTTTGAATTGGCTGACATACATTCGCTTGTATACATGTGTGAAAACAAATTATTTAGAGGTTTTTTTTATCTCAAAGCGCAGCGCCGATTGCAAACATTTTATTTAATGTTTTAAAGTCATTCAATCAAATAGAAAAAAACATTTAATTACTCAATTACTTATTGTGTTTCCTTGTTTTATCCCGTTAGAGGAGAAAAATGTGTGATATTTACATATTTTCATGCATATTTGAATCAGAATCATTAGATAAATTCAACATTCAGACCAAAGAGTGATGTTTTCTGCTCTGTTGTACTAATATTACGTGTTTTTAGAGGCCTGAAGAGGTAAAACTGTACAATCTTTAATCTAAAACTATAAGAATCTATCATGGTAGATGTTGATATGCAAAGATTAGAGATTTCTTTTTAATTGTTTACAGAATAAACATCTTTTTTATTCTTCTTTCTTATCCTGATCATCTTTTTACAACCTTATTTATCTTGTGACCCAAGTTTTCAACCTACAAATATTCAGTTTATCCTAACGGTGGCAGATTTACTCGAAATATTTAGTGATTTTAAAAAAAGAAGGCGTTAACAAAAGCAAGCTTTTCATTTCTAGCCGACGACTGTGGACATTGCCGGCTGAAATGACGAGTGTCGCTAGAATAAGCGAATGCTAACTCTAAAACTTTGTTGTTGTGATCTCTATTTTAAACGTTAACGCTAACGTTAACTGACATCAGGTTCACGTTAGTGTACGCTCATATAACAACGTCATGTGACATTATTACACATTATCTTAAAACACATCGAACGGGGAGAGATCTGTGTTCAGTGTGTGTTCGGGTCCGGGGATGTTTAGAGCAATTAATGCACTTTTCCACCCTTGTCCCCTCTCTTACTGCTACTCCTCCCTTCCCTC